ACTTTCCTCGGCGAGCCAAAAGCCCGACCGTGTAGCCAAATAATTGGCAAACCAAACTCGCCCTCAGGAAAACTTAGGGTGAGAGTCGTACCCTATGGAACATTTTGGAAGATGAGGTCAAGCAACCCTCATATTAATGATTCTTTTATATATATATATATATATATAATAAAAATTCAAGATATTTGTTAGTAATTAAAAAAGATTACACGTAGAAAATTTCGCTGAATTCACTTGTATAGCATAACAAAGCAAAACTAAATTTATAGTACATGATTTTGCTTAAGACATATGTGAATAATTAAATATAAAAAATTATCAATTATTAAAGATTATATAAACAATTACTATAACAAAATAAAAATACTTAATAAAATTATTCGATTGTATAATTAAAGTATTTGAGAAGTCTTATATTATACTTGAATTTATGAAGTAGAAAGATTAGTTATGAATTTCACACATAATCATATCGTGGATAATTGAAAAAAATTCTACAACTTATATGAGTCTATCAGCCCCACATCTGCTTTGTTTTTCTCCTTTATCGCAAACAAAATTCAAAGAAAATATATTAAAAGAGTTAAGGCAGAAACCCCATAAAGAGGGAAAAATCTCTCACAAAGAGTAAAGAAACTCAACAAGAGGGAATCTTACATTTACTCATACTCCCTAACAACCTAAAGGGTTAGAAGCAGTGATTAGGGACAAAGAGAGAGCAAAACGGAGTAGGAGTTGTCAAGACTAGGCAGAGAGATGTACGGCTAGGATTTGGGAAAACAAAATTAGTTATTATATTAATGATTCATTCGTTGAATTATCGAAAATATTCAATTAATGTAAATAAAATATGATTGCCTGCCTATTATTATCCGAGCATGAAAAGAAATAAAGCCAGACTAAAATTTGTTGGAAAAGTTAGGCAACTGGCACCATTGTTATGGGGCCTATCATGTCCGTGTAGCGCATTTATTCCTTTTCCAATAAAGTAACCAATCGATACTGTAGATAACGACCAAGAGCTAAGAGTTCAAGTTCTTATTAGCTATTAGCCTTCAATTTTAGTTTACATCTTTTTTTTTTTTTTAAGGTTAAAGTACCATTTTGGTCCCTCAATTTTTCATTTTGATACCAAAATTATCCTTCTACTTCAAAAAGTATAAAAATTATCCTTAAAATTTCATTTTCGGTATTGAAACAATCCTTTTGTCAGTTAAATGTACATGTGGCACGTTAAGTTGCTAAAAAATTATACTTTTTTTAAAAAAATATTGACATGGAAAAGAAAACATATGTAAGTTGATGAGGTGGCACTTTTTTTTGTTTACATGGCATTTTTAATTTTAACAAATAAATAAGAGATTGATTATTATTAATTAATTAAATTCATTTCCAAAATTTCCAAAATTAACCTTCTTCTTCACTCTTCCCCTCTGTCTCTCTCTTGTCTTGGGCGATCACTTCTTCTCCATCTCCTCCAACATTTCTTCCCATTCCATTTTTCCATTTCACCATTTTGGGTTTTTTTTTTTTTTTTACAGAGATTAAGCGAATTTGGGTGTGCACCAATGCTGGATTTTGAGAAAACCCAGATCTCTCTCTTCTCCTTTCATCTTCTTTTTCCAGATTTGGGTTTTCTCATCCTTTTCCTCTATTTCATCATGTTCCACAACAAGTTCAACAATTATCTTACCAAGAGAGATATCATTACATTGAATAGGCAATCGTTGATGTATTTTGTTGTGTGGTGAAAGCAAAAGAGCAACTCTTTGTTGACGTACAATTTGCCTCCGGCCATGGACTCGACTGATCCTTCTGTATCCCCTTTGACTACTACCTCTTCTCTTTCTTTTTCTTAGATGTGATTTTCAGTTATTTGTGTTGAGTCTTGAGGTTTGATTCTAATGTTTGAGCATTTTGTTTTTATTTGTGTTGAGTGGATCTACGTAGCTTTTCTTCTTCTTTTTCTTCAAATTGGGGTTGTTCTTGCTCATTGGTTTGCTTTGGCAAGTAATGGGTGTTTGATTTTGGGTTTTGGGGTGAGAAATTAGAAGTGGGTTTTTGAGGAAAACAGCCATAAAGGTTAATCAATTGCAACATAGACGAAAATCTAAAGAGTACAGCTCCCTGTTTCTTCCCCGACTCCGGTGTCTGTTGAAAAGCGAAATGGTAATCCACATCCAGATGGGGAGATTTCTAATTAATAGCAGTAATTGATTCTTGAGATCTATAATTGTAAAAATTCATAGATTTAAACCTTTCAAGAGCTGAGGGAGATCTGGCAAGACGATTCAACGACTCTTGCTGCTTTTGCGGTTCAGTATTGTCGGATTTGTTGGTGCCAAAGTCAGAAGCTGCGAACGAATGACATACATGAGGGATAAGAACGAGAGCAACCCATAGACAAAAAATGACAGTGCATGTAAGCATTTCCATTAAAGAAACTGACAAGCAAGATATGGAATATGAATTTGGCCCATTTAGATTTTGACTGTTGGTTCTAAACAAATTGTACTCCCAAATGTTAGTAACCTGCCACTGACTGTTACTGCCTTGATAATCTCTAACATTAAAATTTGGCTTTTTCCCTATGTCCACTAGTAGTCATTATAACAGGTGAAGATTTTGATGTTGTGTTAAAAACCCTTATGGTGATTTGTATTGCTTTTCTTATTATCACCAACTTCATCATATTGTTAATTTATGTGATGAAACCCAGATCCGGGTTTGTCCCAAACCCAGATTTGGGTTTGAGAAAAACCTAGATTTGGAGAGGAAAAAGAAGGTAGAAGAGAGAGAGAAAGAATAAGA